CACTTGTGGAAGTCATTATAAAATTTATCTGAATAAGGGATAAATTATATTAATTACAGAATCATGTTAATTTGTGAATTAACAACCAAATGATATCGATGTCTCTCGTTGAGAGATATTCTTTCTGTCGGTGGAGTTTCTGTCCCATTCTCTCTCCTCTTTAACCATCAACCCATACGTAAGGGATACACCGATGGAAGTTGAATAATTCTTTTTATTCGTGTACAGCAACTCGGTATGAACCTCAAGGCGAATAAATCGAGCGGGACAAGCGCGGATGCGAATTAGCCCGCCGGCAGAGATTTTTTAATCCTTCGGGAAAAATTGTCCGGCAGTTGCGACCGGTTGCCATGTACTCCCATGAATATTTCCCCGGGTATATAGCGCATTCGAACCTTCTAATTATATTTGTCGGGCAATAGGATGTGGTTTGATGGAGAAAAAATTGTTTTCTTTTATTTTTTTCATTCGAGGGATTTTTCTTGCCGGCGATGAATTAACGCGTCGCGAATTGAGCGGCGGATTTTAGAGGAAATATTAAGGCGGTAGATATATCGATATATATCGGAATATATCGGAGTGCAATTGTGATTTCATGGGTGATGGTGATTTCAATGGTGACGCATTTTTTATTTCGCGATTTTTTTTATTCGAGAATTTTTCGCGAATTTATTAATTTAAGAAAGAGATGATTATAAAAATTGTGGAAATTAAGGGAATTTTCAATTTTGTCCTGAAATTTAATGATTTTTTTTCGTTTTTTAAGAGACAATATTTTTTATATTTTAATAATATTCGAGCACACGTTCAACTCGATATTACAATTATTTCTTCGAAAAATATAAATAAAATATAGAAACATAATATAAAAATAATAAAATAACAAAAATAATATATAATAAAATAATGAAAATAATATATAATAAAATATAAAAATATCATTTTTCCCTGAAAAGTATAAATAAAAACAACAGGCAAAAAAAAATGGCGACTTCACTCGCCCAAAATGGGAATCGTGTCTGATAATCACGAGACGGACGTGGGATAAGACGTGAAAAATGCACAGATAAATGCCGACACGACGGGTACGACAAAATAATAAACTAAAAAAAAAAAATCCCCTCAAATGAGAAAAGTTGAAAAAAAAAGTAAAACCGGGATTGGAGATTTGTGTCCCAGGCACACACTCACCGATCCACATACCGGTACTATCGATATATATTTCGCGTCGAGAAGAGTCCTGCCCCCTCCGGGGCCCTCGCGTTATGGATAAATCGTCGATGATTCATCGACTTGTGCCCCGTCCACAAGATTTAGAGTTTCTCCCTATATATTTGCAACCCACCCCATCTTCGGGTTGTCGTGAGACCGAAAAAGGGCTCTGATAATTACTCGACGTAAAAAGAGACGATTGCATTTCTCTCAGCTCAGAGTCCCAGGCAAAAACGAATCATTGGAAACGAATAAGGTGTTGGAATGAAATAAAACAAAATGATAAAAAAAAAATGAGGGGACTGGGGGAATAAAAAAGAGTTGAGCGTTAAAACACGTCTTGGGGGGAATTAAGTCGAATGTCAGGCGGTGGGAACGGGCGGCTGGGGTGGAGGGGGGGCCCTCTAATTCGTTCGAGTTTAGAGTCGAGGAGAGCGAGACGCCGAGTTGATGAGACGGTCGTATCTACGTGGCCTAAATTCGGTGTAATCCGTTTGTTAGAACAAACCTCCGGGTTCTTGGACAATTTGTCATGATAGAGGAATTTTCATAATGCGGGATAATATCGACGGGTCTCTATTTCAATTGATAATAATAATAATCTTAATCAATGATTGAATTATTATCAGATTGAAGCTCTCGAGGAAAATTATGTATTTTTATTTTTGTGGTTTAATGAGATTGTGAATTTGTGCAACCGAAATTTTCCGAGTGTTTTTCCATTTTTTTTTCTGGGATTCTATATGCATAACGCGCCTTGCGAAATTTTCTCACTTCAAACGAAATAGAAACCCAGTGTCAAACTGTTCTATTATTAAAAAGCTGTTGGGGATGTTTGGTGGAGTATAATGTCTCCGGAGAGGACAACAAAACATTCAATTATAATAGTCGGTAGCACCCGCGGATAAAGTGCGGAAGAGAAAACCGGACAGTATTTTTTTTTTTCTGTGGGGGTCTTTATTCCTTTGATTTTATTTCATCTCGCCTGTGCGCACGTGCCTCATAAACACGATTAGTCACACACTGGTGTTGTCTACCATGGCGACTCGGTTTTCAACTCAGAATACGCTCGCGCTAATATTTGAAATAAAGTTTTAGCGCATGCGTCGGTAGCGAGACGCACTTGTCAACTTCACCTTGACGAGCGCAAGTTTGAAGTTTACGAAATTATGTGGAACTTCAGGGGAGCTGTACGATAAAAATATTCAATATTCAGTGTTCGGTAATGATCACTTTTGAACCTAGGTGTAAAAAAAAATTTTTTAATAGGAGAGATATTCTGAAAAATGGCGGGCTCGTTTGATGAGGAGTTGTTATTAACTTTGTTTATCGAATACTTCTAATATTTCTTTGGTCATCATGTAATGATTATTATAGGCGTGCCCCAAACGCTAATCAATATTAATTTTTTATCACTCTAGTGCTCACGTCACGTCTATATCAATCCCTATCGATGGCCTGACGTAGTTTTCCGAAAGTCGTTTCCATTGTGAAAAAGGGTAAAAATTGATAACGTGCGTCATACTCGTGTGTAAATTTTTCCATACGGACTTGACTGCACACAATCGTAAGAGCAACGTCACCAGCATAATTCCCAATCGATTCGATCAGGAGTACCCCGATTATGAAGGGTCCCACTTAAAACTGTACAGTTAAATAACCCTTGGAAGAGAGCAGTAATTGGAGGAACTTTTGGATGAACGTCATAGGATTCGAAGGGGGATAACTGATACAAAGTATGTTTCGAGTATAAATGTTTATGCTTTGATGCTGCGAGTTATGTTGCTTTTTTTTAATGACAACCAAAAAATTCACCCCCACAAAAGTTATTCCTCTTGATGAGACGAATTCAGACG